GCTCCTCCTTCAGCATCGAGAGTATCATGCAGGGCGCCAGCATAGGGGCCGCGCAGAGCCTGCCTCAGACGCCGTGGGGCTACTGCCACCTGCCTCAGCGCCCGTCGTGTCTGCTGCATCCCCAGGCCGCTACCCCCTTGCTGCACGTGTCCGCTGCCGCCTCCGCCCGGACGATTTTGCAGCAGCAGCAGCAGCACTGTGCCAGTTGCTGCGAGCCCAGCAAAAGCACGCTGCTAGGCCGTCACTTGTCCGCGGTCGCGGCCCTGCTGAGGTGCCCGCCGGCGGCCGAGGGCTCTAGGCTGACAGCGTTGACCGCCCCTTCGGGCGGAGAGGCGACCTCGCCAGCACCCACACCCACACCTGCCTGCGACCAGACTCCGGCCGGCGCACCCGGAGCCAGGTGGAAGGGGACTTCCAGCCCCGCCCCGCCCACCCTCCAGGCCGCAGCACCCGAGTCCTGCGCAGCCAAGCTATGTTCGATACAACAGAGCTACAAAGAACAAGTTGTATTCTGTTCTCGGAAAGAAATCCAGACAGACTAAAGGCCGGGCGTCACCTTTCTTTATCCGCTTCCGTTGTGGCTTCCGCAGGTTTTCTGATTTGCACCTTTCTCGAGGAACTGTGAACATGAGTTGGGTACTCTGGTTTGGCAATCGAAGAAACACAAGGAATACACAATGCAAAGCATGTTTCCCTTTTTTTACTCCCTGGGAACTGCAAGTATTCCGAAGTCAAGCGCCAAAATGCTCATGGTTTCTGTGTCTTCCCGAAATATATATGTAATATAAGCAGACTTTTAATTTCGTTAAGTTTATTTCATACCTGTGTGTCTGACATGCCGTATTCCATGGGGGAGATGCTAAATGCGTATGTAGAGTAAATAAAATACTAACGCACTGTGTCGTTTATTTTTTATTGTGTTCCTTACTTTCTAAACGGAGTTTCTTTTCAAACTTGCTTTCATTTCTCGAAATTAAACAATTGCTTTTGGATTCGTATTTCATTATAGAAATCAAAGTAACTTGTTTTCAGTGTGGCTTTTCAAACTTACTAATATCCGAGGTTGAAAAGTTGACTTTTTATTTTTTATTTTTTTAAGTTGATTTTTAAAATGAGAGCTTTCAGGGCGGAGGGCGTAGCTCGGTGGGAGCGGAATTGCCTACTGTGCGAGGCCCGGAAGAGGGCCAGAGGGAGGCAGACACGGGGTTGAGAAATCTCTAGAAGAAACAGAATGGGAAGAAATGGAGATCTATTCTTCATTTACTTCCCATGTTTAAAGACATTTTCTTGAATAAGCTAATGACTATCTGAGATCAGTTTGGGACGCGAACAGGCATTTTTTTCTCAGGGCATTCAGGGAAAATCCGTGTGTGTGTGTGTGTGTGTGTGCGCGCGCGCGCGCGCGACAGAATTTTCAGAAGCCACTCTAAATGTCGTTCCTCATCATATACTCTCCACCGTTAGCTGTGAATTTCTTCCTTCCGGAGGAGGGAGGATCCGGAGACCCATGTTTACATACGTTTTTCTCCGCTGCTTTTCCTCTCTGCCCGCCCGTCGAGTTGCCTGGACACTTTTGGCCGCCCTACCGCGATCCCCAGCCCGCCCAGCCCCGCGCTCTCCAGTGGCCCGGCCTCACCCCTGGCGACCGCGGGGCTGTGAGTTTAGGATTCTTCTCTCCCCTTTGCACACGGTGCCTTCGTCCGCACAGCACAGTGTTCTAAATAGAGCCACCCCCACCCCAGGAATCGGGCAGGTCTAGGAAGTCTGAGAGTCTGAAAACAAATCAAGAACAGAAGGGTCCTATTTCATTCCAAGTTCTTCACCTGTTCCTGGTTTCAAGTTCTTTTGAGCGAACGTTCCCAGGCCTACTTTCGTTCGTGTATTCAATTATCAAACATCCTCCCCGAGCCGGCTACTCCCTCTGGGCTCGGTTGGCGTCCTTCAATGTCTTCCTTCAGCGGGGAACCCGGGTGACTGAGAATCAGAGCCCAAACGAGGTCTAACCCCAAGCTCCCAACTGTTCCCTAAGGAAACCAGATCGAATGATGACTTGGATTCAGTGGCCGCGAAAAGTAAGCGCTGTTCTCCGCTCCCCCTTTGCCCAAAACCTTCGGGTGGGGCCGGCGCGGGACCCCCCTCCTCACCCCCGGCCACGCTCACGACCCTGCGGCGCTCGAGGTCCGTCCAGGGCTCCTGCGTGGGGCGTTCGGCTGCCCCTCAGGTCCTTGGCTTCAGCGCTTCCGCTGGAGTCGAAAACCACGTCGTGTCCGAGTCTCGC